TTTGGGTTTGTACTTGTTTGTTGAAAAATTCGAAATAACCTCACAAACTCATCTTCTGGTCCTCAACGTTTCGTATCGGAAGGAAGGGAAAGAAGCATGGGAACAGCATCTCATTCGAGTTTTAGGACGAGTTTCAGGGGGGTTCTGCGGTTGATCCATTTTTTTACCATTTGCGGTTCGGAAGGAAAATATATAACCGCAGAATAAATGCACGATCGATGCACAAGTTTCCCTCCAAAATAAAATGCGTGAAATAACGCGAAGGGTCATGTCAGTTGGTATACAGTACAGTACTGAACAACTGAAGAGCTATCAAAGTTTATTACGTACAGAATCCGATGCATCCTGGGAAGGTATTCATTAGAATATAAATTATTTCCATCTCGATTGATCTCGAAAAGCGAAAAGGAATCACCGAAAACGGAGGTCATAATGTTTCCTTGAGGACATTCAGGTATCAAGGCAAATGAAAGGATGTGAGTTCATCGAGGTGTACGGTAATTTGTGGTGTATCACTTGAAATTACTGTTTGAGCTTTGCGTGGTTTTTCGTCTTTCTCTTGAGGTAATCAGGGCCTCCGAATCGTAAAGGGTGTCACTATTTTTGGTCGTTCGTTTCCCTGGATGGAAAAGTATAAACGCTATCCTCTCCGCGGCGAATTACCAGAATGACACAATTCTCGTGAAAATGACTAGGAATTCGACACACTGTACACGTTTCCGCAATTCGCACAGCAAGATAATGATGCAACTTGGTTTCCGTTTGACCCCAAGTTGCTCCCGTCATTTCCCTCGCTCGTATCACGAAAGAACTGAGACACGATATATACAGTACAGTACTCCGAACGAATGTTTACGGCCAACTGGGGCATTAAAAATGTGATGTTGAAGAGTTTTTTTTAGCATCTTGCTGCCTATCTAATACATAGATCCGGGTTTCATCGTTCATAGATCAAAAAGCAATTGTATTGTAATTCGATACGCATAGTCGTAATATTTCGAACCTTCCGCTTTCTGCGGTCACCTGGGATTTTCAAGATTTTCTTACGCAATTGTCGATTTCATCTCACGCGAGATACCCTTGAAGCGAGTTTTACAGAAATTTCTTAATTTTCACTTTGTCAAAATCCGGTCACTCGTCCTTTTTTTTTCAAAAAAAAATATGCTCGAAGCATGCAGAACACCTGTCTTCGAGGAAGGAACATCGATCCAATTCTTCCTTCACGGGAATTCAAAAAATGGCTTTCTGCGACAATTAGGCAAAACATTAGGCACGGAATAATTTGTCTATAGCTCAGGGCAGGGTAAAGACAATCTTACCCAAAAATTGCTATTAACTAGTCCGATGACACAGCAGATAGGTTGGAGCAACTTGGACGGCTTCTGAATATAAATTTACTTTGAACGAAGCTCCTTCATTGTTATAAAATATACAAAAAAGGGCTGAGTAACGCTACAACGAAAAGTTAAGAGAACTAGAGTTACGCAATCAAATCCAAGCACACATTTGTTTCCTACAAAAAAAAAATGAAAGCCCCGAAAAATATCTTATAAACTTCATGATCGCTTGACAAGTGAGCCGAGATCTCGCTCCTGACTTGGATCATTCGCTATACTACTTGTGAAAATCACGCGTTATCGGATTTTAACAATGTAGAAAGTAAGAGATTTTTATTACAGAAAAAAATAAACTCGCCGCAAGGTTAATCTCGCGTGCGTGAAGTGAAATCGACAGTCGCGTACGGAAACCTTTCGAATGGATCGTGATAAGAACCGAACTGATATAAACGTACTGCATGTATCGAAATGTTAAAAGACTAAATGTAACCATTCAACACACACTCTCTCACGGACGTGAAGGCGGAAAGGAAGAAGATTTCGCCGGCGGAAACCGAGTCGCCATCATACACCCCCGAAAATACGGTATATACTCAACAATATTTTATTCTCGCTCTCTCTCTCTCTCTTTCTCCTTCTTGATTTTCTTCTTCTTCTTCTTCTCCTATTTCCCCCCGCTGCCCTTTTATCGCCTCTCGCGCTCGTTCGCCCCGCATCTCGTCCGATCGCTTTCCGCTCCGCTTCGGCCCCCGTGTTTTTCTCGCAAAGCATTCCGGGCGCCGCAGCCGAGCACAGCAGAACCCAAGCCGGGGGCCCCCTCTTGCACACCCTGGGGCCAAGCATTTCATTTCTTTCTCCTATCTCTCTCTCTCTTTTTCCCGGGCCTCCTTCTCGCCTGCCCTCTCTTCTTCATTCGCTTGCTCAACGCAAAGAGGCTTCTTCAGCGTTGCCAACTCGACGGGAAATGCGTTCGTGCCGCGCATAATTCGCGCCAGGGGTGGGCAAAACCTCCTAACCCGCGGGCTTGGGTCCGCTTTACTATACAGAGCCCAGACGGCATTCTTTATCGCCCTCTTTAAATACTGACTTCGAATCCGGGACGGAAGAAATGAGCAATAAAACAAGACTCAAAAGCTGCATATTTTTCTGGGGATTTTTCCCAGCTCCAGAAAAATTGGAACGTACCCTGGCATTCAAATTGCCCGTAGTTTTACACTTTTTCCTCCTGAAAAAAACATAATTTACTACTCCGAGAACATCCTTTTGCAGGAGCTTTTCGAAATATTTATCTTGCAGAGAGTCAGCTGAGACCATGAAACTATTTGTTATAAGGAAAACATAGTTTTAGAAAAATGCATGCAAAAACTTCAGCTATTGCGGGTTCAAAAAAGGGTTGCCCACCTTGAGCTGTAGCCGTAACAAACTCACTGCAACGCTGCACGGCAGGTAAAGGATTACCGGGGAATTATATTTTTCAAGACAAGGTATAAATGGAGTTTCGCGACAGGATATAAGCCGAGGATAATTCGAAACACAGACTGAACTGGACACTGGACGGTCACCAGCCGAACAAAGAAAAAATCATATTTTCATCAAAAGGGATAAAAAAAAAGAAATTAACACTCTAAAATTATGACTTCCTCGATTTGTTTTCGAGTATGGTCCGACAGATATCATTCGGTGATGTCTGGACCTGCGGTCGCAAATGATGCACTTGAAAAGAAACCAACAAAAAGACAGGACAAGAGTTGCACGTTATTTTCTTCGCTCATTTAAAATGCAAATCAGACCTTCCTGATTAATACTGTAATTTGCATTCCCAAGTTTCTCGGCAGTTAATCGCGGTTAAGCTTCGAATTTTTCCGCTGAGATTCGAAGTCACGACTCTCCGTGCGCCGCGATGACTAGCAGAGCGTTGAAGTTCAGTACTTCCCCCAGCTTGAAAAAATGCGAAAGTTTTCTTTTTCCTTCGACAGACACTGAATTAAATTTCTATTTTCCTTCACGTGGATAATAAACACCCATTCCATGCACTGAAAAGGTTACTACGCCAGGCCCGCAATCGTCGGGCTCGCGAGTTCGTGGGAAGACACACATATTTTGCAGTGCAATTTGGCGTGCCCTCCAGAAGGAATATCAATAGCATCGACCGAAAAATCGCGGATCAAAATTTCATTTTATTTCATGTCCGAGACTTTCATAAACATAAATCTGGAATGGTATATCTGGGCGTAACCAACCAAAGATGAAACGAAAACGTTCTAGCGGAATTCTTCGTGAAAAGCATGCGATCAGACTTTTTTTTTTTTTACTTCTGGACACAATCAAAATTTTATCTAGCATTCGGAGATGAATTTAATTTTTACGAAAAAAAAGGTATCACACAACAGTTACAATACTTTTCTTCCGACAATTTTCAATCTGATCCGCAAAATAAAGCTGACTTCGCATCAGCAGCAATATTACAATAATCTTTCCATTTACTGGATTTTAACATTAATACATTTACGTCTCCCGGATTTATAGCAGTTCTTCACAACAAAATTCTCTCCACAACGATTTTTGTCCCTCGAATTTCGCGGTAGAGTGAGTCCACCTTCTCTTCAACTCGAACCTCTCCAAGTCAAAAACCTCTCGAAGTCAAATTTCTCATCGGTCCCTTGACATTTCGTCTCGGAGTATAAATTTCACATAAAATTCGACAGACGAAGAACGAAAATAAGGAAGTAATCTTCTCTTGCCGACTGTTCGCCTTTGAAATGAACAAGAGTGAAATTCCATCAACGCTTTCTCCCCCGTGGAAAGTTTCGATAACCCTCAAAAGTCAAGACAAGACGAAGCCGAGAGAAAAAATGCACGCGCAGCAACATAATACAGACGAAATGTTTCCACCCCACGATTTAGCAATCGTTGTTTCAAACCACATTAGCAAGGTGGTGAATTGCACGAACTATCGTCTTTACTCCCTCATTTTCAAGGTTGTGGCAGAACTGTCCAGAAAATAAACTACAGTACTGTGAGAAAAAAACATATCCCCCACCTTCGTACTCTTTCGTAAGGTACTGTACTCAATTTCGACAGCCCGTGAGCAGAAGTTGCAAGTCGCGTGATTATCCTCTGAAATGAACAGTCCCGCCACGAAAGAACTCGACTCATGCCATCCCCCGAAAGAACGAACGAACGAACACGGCCGGCACTCGTCCGTTGGCGGCATGCGCAAGTCCGACCCAATGACAAGACGCGGGACAATGATTCAATTAAACTCTGGTTCGTTTTCCCGACGCCGACGAACGGACCCGAGCCAACAAACACGAGGGTGACGACGTCGATGAACGAGGAACAACGCCGACTTGACATCCATCCATCCTCCCTTCTTTCCTCCCCCCAGGCAGCTTCAACGAGTTTACATGTGTGCTCGCCGCACGGCAAATGAGCACCCAGTGGACTGGACGCAAGTGAGAGATAACATCGATACTGCGGGAACCATGGAGGAAGATGAAGAAGAAACAGAAGACGAGTCCATGGGAGAGCCGAAAGTTCGCCAAAAAACAATGAGGCTGATGATCCTAGTCCGCAAGTTTTGTTTCAAGACCTTCTTTTCAACTTGACCCAAGTCCGTACAGTGCGTAAAAGAGTGGACACACAACAAAAATGGACCGATTTTTAAACACGGCTATCAACTGGATGCACCGGGGGAACTGAAAAGCGACGAAGAAACATAATAAGAACCCGTGGGAGAATTGAAAGTTCGCAGAAGAGACTGACCATCGACTTCATTCAATTAAACTCCATTTAAGTATCATATATTGAGTGTCAAAATGAAAGTCGATCATAACACCACTGTCGACTAAACTAACCTTGGTTACTTCTAGAAAACAAGAAAAAGAAGATGACGAATCCGCTAGGAATTTTTTGCCCATTCTCTGTACCTCACACTACTGTACTGTATATACAGAGTACGAAGCTTAAAAAACTCGACAAAAAAGACTTTCAACAAATTCAAGTGATCCACTCAAAGTGAGAAAATAAACTTTCTTCTAAGAGACATGTGGGTGTGTTTTAACATGTGAATCTGTCGCGTGAATTTCCAACTCCGCACGATGAAAAATAGAATTGGTAATTTTTTTTTATTTTGCTGAAAAACAGCAAAGTAATCGAAATATGACCAAATGATGAATACAGAACATGATCTTTGCTAGAGTATCACCACGTGCACCGGTTTTTCCCAAACTCGAGAAAAAATCAGAGGATACATTTTTCAAAAACGTATAGGATGTATGTGTGTATGATACAGTACTTGATTCGAATGGGAATTTTTTGACCAGATTTAAGATTTTAAAAAAAGTGATTTTGATAGAAACAATTGAAAAATTAGTCAAATCCATTCTAAATTAAAGTCTAAATTTAAATTTGGATGCTCGTATTTTTGAAATACAGTATTGTGGTTTCAGAGTCATTTAAAAATGTGGTTCACGTTTTACTTGGGGATAGGATTTCGTGAGAATTTTCCACTGAAACCCCCCTGGTGCGCTTCTTACTCGAAGGCGCTTGGTACCTTGGGTAAATATGGCGTGTAAACGAGGTTCATCAGTCCAAAAGAATGAATTCCTTTAAACTTTCGTACCTCCCCACGTCGAAGCCGCAAGAAAGGGGGGGAGACGACGATAGGATTGGATAAATGCCTGAAGGAGACACGCATTCCTCGAGGGAGAAACTCGCGGCGTACGTCAAGGATGACCAAACGTTTCGTTTCCGATCAGCAGGTCGGATCGATTCCCACGGAGGAGCGGACGAGTCTCTCTAGTAGTCGCCCCGGCTTTAAAGCTGCTATCTGCTTCAAACTTGCATAAAAACCTCAACCCTCTTCTACCAAGTTTGGGCAGGAAAATACGTAGCTCGTACTTATCGCCTCATCTCAAATCCCTCAGCTTCCTTCCTACACGGATAAACCCCGTTTACGAGGGATGGACGCAACGGAACGTCTTCCGCTCGAAAACTTGTCCTGAATATTCCGCAGCTCGTTTCCGGCTGACACCGATATTTTAAATACTGTACTGTACAGGCAAATCCAGGTAAAGACGCCACCTGACAAAGCACCACCTCAAGCAACTGCCAAAATTTTTGCACTGAGCAAATCTTTCTTAGGTTAAGTGGCTTAGATGCCTTAGAAAACACAGATACGATGCCAAAATAATTGACAGAACAAAAGTGCTCTTGAACATTGATTCTATCTTCTTTAGACTACCAATTTTTTAAAATTAGGATTAAAAGTACCCCCCTCCAGAATCTCCTATAAAAATGTTTTTTTTTTAAACGACAGATATGCTTAATGTACAGTTGAAACAAAAGTACCTTTGAACAAATTTGTCCAAGCCCGGCCTTATCTCAGTCAATTTTATTTTATCATTGTCAAAAACTGGAAGCACCAACTGCTTCTCCCTGCGAAATTTGCTGTTCAAAATGAAAGACACGCAAACCCCGCTAAACCGCCACCCTCACTTCCCGCCAATATTTTCTGCAAAAAATAATCCTAATGCTAAAGAGATGGGAATACCTCGATAGACCGCCAACCGCCGAAGTTTTCCTTGTCCCAAAGGGGCCTTTTTACTCTCAATTTTTCCCTCCATAAACCGCCGACGGTTTCAACATCGGTGTTTATGAAACTTTCTGGAACTGGAATGATAAAATGAAGTAAAAACAACAATTACGTTTGGGTGTGAGGGAAATGTCTTCAACAGCACATTTATGCCGTTGATTGTTTTTCAAAGATAGAATCTTGTCGAGTATGATAATAGAATTTAGTACAAAATTAGAGCCTTATTTCTTGGAAGATTGTCATCCTTGTAATCTAAGATTTTCGACTAGGGAGCAAAGAATACAAGACATGGTTAATTGGAAAGAAAAAAAATAACAGGTTAAGATTTTAGAAGTCAGAAGTTTCTCATGCAAGGAACAAATGCTGCATCAAGGGACACGGAAAACTGTCGTAAACAAATTTATTTTTATCGAGGTTCGTTCTCCTGGACCAGCGGGTCAATCCCATATTTATTGCTCGGCTGTGCTTTTCCTGTTCTCTATAAGCAGGTAAGCAGCGGGATATTCCTCCAGGCGAGGTGCTACCCCGATTAATCGCCATTGGGTTCGACTGTATTAAGCAACGTTTCCTACATATTCTCTAAGCGAAAAACTTGTCAGCATCGGTTAAATCTTGAATTACTTTTGCCTCAACAACCACATAACCCTAAAATGTTTCGGGATGAAGATAAACGCAAATGCACAAAAGAAAACATTGTACCGTATTTCAGAAATCGAGACCTGGCAGAAGCACATTTATCCTCACGAACTTCTTCCCACTTGGCTGGCTATTTTTTTTCCTCAATCCCCGTCACAAGGTGATCTGAAAATAAATACTGGCTACCCTTTAAATAAACGTCCGATATTCAAAATTACAGCTCTCTTCATTCCTTCATCTTCCCCGCTTGGATCCCGGGCCAAGAACATGCACCCGATTAGCATAAACTCGTGTTCCTGTCGCCTATGGTAAATGGTATCGCGCTGACCAGAAAAGTAGGCCTGATGCATGGAAACCGGTTTCTCTACACCTCTGAAAAATTCTTAAATTTTCTGACTTCTTACACGGTGAAGAAGAGTGAAGACAAAGAAGCCACGCTTCACCACATCGCAAGAAATAATACATGCCGAGGAATAAGTACGGTCACAAACTCGGTGAGTAGAACAATAAAGTCCATTATTTCGAAAAAAAAATCGCAAGCTGGGAATTACAAGAAATATGGATCTTCAATTGGAAATGTATTTCACCGCAGAAAACCGAAACAAATCACTGTACTGTCCTGCGGGTGAAAATTTAATTATACATCTTTAAAAAAAAGAGCGAGACACAACTGAAACATTTGAGAAGACTTCGGAAGAGAATGAAGTTCGAAGCAGAGAAACAATTTCAAAATGAAATTTACAGTTTTAGAGCAGTTGATATTTTTTGGTATCCAGTTAAGGTTCCAAGATGTCCTGTCGCTACATAACGAAAGAGCAAGCATCAAAAAGATCAAATCTCGACAGAGCAGGCCCATTAAAGCGTCAGTTGTAGCTCAACTCAACCTATTGCCTGAAAACAACCTAGCAGGACAAACTTTTGTTCTTGCTCTTCTGATGCGCACCCGCGTTACAAATTGCCTTCCTCTTTATTTATTTATTCCTGCGCAAAGCTCATCAAAAAAAGAAGGATTTCTCCCCAGAACAGTCAGTAACGATTACCGAGGCGGGCGTTATTCTTTCTTTAGCCCACTCTGCGGAAACCCTTCGCCAAACGCGAAAGACGCAGGAGAGATGAGGGAAAAAAATATAACGACGATAACGAGAAGAATAATAATAATAAAAAATAAACTCACTGTGGTTTCGGCAGTTTGGACGCCGACCGGCGACGGGACAACAGCCAGCACCTTGAGTCTGAACTCATCCACGCCGGCTTCTCGGTCCAGTACGGCGGCCGTCACAACGGCGCCTCTGGCCCGATCCACGGCGAAACTCGTCGCACTGTTGGCGCCGCCCTCCCCGCTTCCCGACACCCGCACTCCGCGCGAAAACGCCGCCACGTCTACCAAGTGGTACTCAACGTCCTGGCCCAGAGCTTCGCCCGCCTTGGCCACCACTCGCACCACCGTCGCGCCCACAGTCTCGTTTTCCTCCACACTGGCCGAGTAGCTGGGCTGCGCAAATTTCACCCGCTTCTCCGGGCCTGGCCCTCCGGACTCGCCGCCGCCGCTGCTCTCGTCTCCACCGACATTTGCGATTCCTGATGAGGAACCCATCAATGAGATGACATTATTGTACTCACTTTTTCGCGTTGAAAAAAAAACTAATGAGTGAAGGAGACATTTATGCATCGGAAAATGTACTGTAAATGGTTTGGCTCATGAGTAGTGTTCTACAACCCCAGTAGTCTTGTCAAAAAATCGGAGAAGGACATACTTTTTAATGACAAATATTCGTTCACGGATTTTTTTTTTTCCGGACCAATTAAACGCAAATAAATTCGTGCATGCGTCGGAGGTGAAAAAATACAGGTGGACTCTCTCTTGAACGAAATTCAAGGGACCAGAAAAATTGCCTTGTTGAGAGGCCCTCCGACACGGGGGGAGGAAAATCATTGTAGACAAGATCGTTGCAGGGAGAGAGTGCATCTGCGATGACTTTATAAATAACGATACAGTACACGGAATACAGTAAAATCTCGTTAAAACGAAGCCAGCGGGACCAACAAAATAGCTTCGTAGTAACAAAAAATTCGTATTCGTAACATACCGAACTTGACGTTAAGGCTATTGGGCAGGGGACCTAAACAATGACTTCGTTGTTGACGATTAATCGTTATTACCGAGATGCATTGTGACGAGATTCTACTGTCTTTCCTACTCACCAATCAAAGTCAGCCGGGTTTCCGTGGACTTGCGCTGGGATTGCACGGCCTCGTCGGTGGCCCGGACGTGGAGCTCGTAAGTCGGGCGCGGGTTCACCACGTCACGGGTCACCGTCACTCGCCCCGTGGCTCTGTCCACTGAGAACAGGCCCGAGAAATCGGCCCCGTTCACCAGCTCGTAAGTCACCAGTCCGTTCGTACTCGCGTCCATATCCTTCGCAGTCACCTGATGGAATTCAACACGAACAATGGTCGAGATTGAATATTTCCTCGCATCAATTACTTTCGAATTCCCCGTCCGTTCAAACAAAAGCCCAGGGGCCACGTCTGGAATGCAATGCGACGCAGCGTTTCAATGAAGAAGGACATAAGATTATATCGGAGGACTAATTTCTCCCCGGTCACTGGGTCAAATTAGTGTACATGGACCATTCGAAAGACACGTTTTAAACGCTTCGATTTGTTCGCACTGTGCAATCATCTTCCCACAAAGTTGAAGGCGACTCTTTCGTGAACAAATCTGCATACGAAGCCTTAGAATAACTCTCAATAAAAATCCGACTAAAATCGCGCGGCAAAAATTTCCATACCTATCCATAGAAGAGATATACTGTACTGCCATACTGTATTTTAATCAAGTTGATTTTCTTCCAGTCGATTTTCAAGGAAGCAGCAAATAATTCCATTCATAGAGGTTTCAAATTATGCTAGGGAAACCACCATTTTTGCTTTGAAAAAAAAAAAAGGATTGAAGGAAGTTGATATGAGATATCGTTTTTTGCCCGAAACTGCCTCGTAAAGAATTTGACAGGATGCTGAAATTGTAGGCACGGGTTTATTTGACCAATTATTATTTCACTTTCTATCAACAAACATGAAATTACATTTTTATTGCTTTTTTTTCTTTCCTGGGGTTGAGTTCGGGAGGTTCTTTCTTAGTTTCTTGTACATTGTTTCTAAGGAAATGCAGACAGCTTCATAGCATTCCTTATAATAGCAATTTTGCGATTTTCATAAAATCAGCGATTTCGATTTTTGTATTCTATACGAGAGAAAATTTTTGTGTATGCACCGGACAAAAAAAATGTACAGAACGTCTCCGAACCTTGAGAAAACGCTTCGGGAAAGAAATGGAGAAAAAATTGCTCAATCTTCAAAGAGTCACTCGTAAAGTTTACATAACCTACTACAGTAGTTGGTCACATTTTCTGAAGTCCCTCGTTTTTTTTTTTTTTTTTTTTTTTACCTCCACGACTCTTTCTTTGAGTCACAAAGCATTTTTTCTCGTTTCGCAAGAGGTCTGACCCTCACTCCGAACATCTCTCGAATTGATGTGTTCTTATGCAAAATAGCCATGATGGAAAAGGATAAATTCTAAGGGAATAATAATACGCAGCCTCTACTTCAGCTCTCATTTTTGAAAGAAGCCGAAAAAGCTGTAATACTTTCGGAAAATTAGCTGCCGGTGCTTTGGTTCGTTACATTATCTCAAAATGAAGAAGTTAACTGGATTCATCTCGCCAAAACAGAAAAACACGTTTACAAAATACTTTATCAAACCTTGAGTACTTAACTTCGCATAGAAAGGAACAAGAATGAAATCAGCTCATTCACAATCATATTTCATGAATTTTCTTGGCCAACGTGGACCTTTCAAAACGAGAATACAGAGAGAAAAGAGGGAAACCAAAAAGGATTGCCGAAACTATCCTCCAGCTTCCGGAAGAATATCGAACGGATGGATCAACACTTTTAAATCGAAGTCGATTCACGATGATTTTATGTCTAAAATTTCCGGCAGTTGTGGCTTCGGTTGCAAATCGGAATGTCTCTCCGAGGTGCTTTTTTTTAAATCTTCGAACCACAGGTCAAAGAAAAATTCACGATTTTCTTTCAATCATGAACTGCGAAATAGAGAATCTTCTATGACAATTCAGCACAGGGCTATTGACAGGCGCTCGCCACGGAATTACTTGGAGGTGAAGAAAAAGAAATAAATTTCGCAGATGAACTTCGCGGCATTATTTTAGTTCCATGAAAGCGAGGCAGTTAAGTTAGTGCAGCACAGTAGTTTTCTCTCTTTCGAATTCGAATCAATCTGAGGTAAAATGCGCGATCAAAATAAGGGACGATTGAAAAAATCCCATTTCCCGCGTTTCAAAATAAATTCAAGTCTTAAAAAGAGGAAATTGAATCCGGAAATTGTTTTTCATACCTAGCATTTCGTTCAGAAGATACCGAAACGAAGAGACTTTAGAAAAATCCAGTTTGTTTTCCTATTGCAGCTTCCTTCTATAAAAGCAGCTCAAATTAATACGGCAATTATACGGGAATTTTGGAAATAAAGTATTGTAATAGCCATCATTCGTCCTTCAAAAGAATGTCTGACAGATACAGTGGATAAAAAAATTCGAAGTTCTGTATTAACCTATCCAAAAAATGCTCAATTGCGGAAACGTCAGTGCTAGTACCCGTCGCACACGTACGTGTCGAGAACCCACGCACGTAACGTTGAAAGATACAAATCCCTCGTTCACACCACCGATTGAAAAAAATCATAGCATAATAGAGTACCTGGAAAACGACGCTTCCGGTTTTGGTCCCGCCGACGAGGACTCCGCTCGCCAAAGAAGTGAACACTGGCGCATTGTCATTGACGTCTTCAACGATGATCGTGACGAGTTTCTCACTTTCCAGGGCCACGGGTTCGCCCAGGTCCCTCGCAACGACAGTGACGCGGAAATTGTCCTCGCTTTCCCTGTCAATCGGTCGCTGCGTGAACAGAACCCCGGTTTGTGGGTTAATGCCGAAGTGTTCTCCGCCTGGGGCTTGGCGAGCGATGGCGTAGACCACTTGTCCATTGCGACCCGCGTCGGGATCCTCGGCTAGCACAGTGACGACTGGAGTGCCGACAGGGATCCCTTCTTCGATCTGTCGCACGATGGCAGTGTTGGAGAACAGCGGCGGGTTGTCGTTCGCGTCCTGCACCTTCACTTCCACCTGTTGATTTGTCAAATAGATACCATATAAACGCCGGTGAAAATCAGAAGAACAATCTTCCTTTGAGGGGCTATAGTACTGTCTTCATTCAAATGAGTATCAAACGACAACTCATCGAACATACGACATGCTCCTCAATTTTTTTTCATAAAAACAGTGCGAAAGTTTAAAAACGTTAAAAAATCACTCCATTAAATTTCTGTAGAACCAGACGCTTTGTTCACGTACAGCTTTTTTATACTTCAGTTACCAGATTTATTTATGCAACTAATTCCAAAATAGATCGAGTTTCGGATTGCTGCGTCATTCAACTGGAAACTGTCACAGAGATGAGTTCAACTGAATTTTATGCATTCAAAAATTATTTTATTGGCATCATACAACGCGCGAATCTAAACATCCATCGAATTAAGGGCGGAACCTGATTTTAAAGCAATTTTCCGAGAAAAACGGGAGAATGATTCGCGAGTAAAGAATAGTGATATAAACACTACAACCATTTTTGCAACATAACGAATAAATTCAGGGCGGAAACCCCCACCGGGATTTCCCTGGTCATATACGAGTAAGCGAAATTTCACTGGTCCCGTCAGACCTGCTACTAGAATACATTTGCAACTTAGCTGCAACAGAAATACTGCAGAACGATTCATTTTCTCAATCCCATGAGTATTATCATGGTCAGTCCATTGCTCAGTTAGAAAATGATCGTGATTACGTGAGAAAAACGCATTCAGCGTTCTAAGAACAGGTTTCAACAACGGAGGCTCCGTTATTGGCACGAAGGAGTTTTGCTAACAGGCATGAGCGATCTGAAAACCTATATGTTCAGAGGTGAAGGCCCTCAGCAAACGATCTGAAAGGCCGAAGAGTGCGCATTACAGATAACGGTTCATCGAAAACGAGATCGCCGGGGCCTCTGGATAAATACACCGTGTTTGGGGGAAGAAAACCCCAACAAAACACATTTACATGTACCCTTTTCAATCTTGTGGATGAGTGAGAACACACGTGATTTCCCTTTCAGTTCTCCGAAGCCAGAATTCCTCCTATGTGAATATGACCAACCGACGCGTTTTTTTTTGTCGACTTCGTTTAAGCTAGCTCAGTGGGTTTCGAATCACTGAGGCCTAAAAATATTCTTGATTTTCTTCTACAGTTAAAGTCGAACTTATTGAAGTCGAATTCCAAAAGACCAACAAAAAAAATTCGAGTTGAGGAAACAAGAATTTTTTTTCTGAAAAAGAAGGGAGAAATACTGCACAGAGAATTGTAGTTGGTAACACTGTATTCTGGCCTTGAATTGTTTTCTAAAGGAGGTGACAGGATGCTGAACTTTTACTGTATTCTTTAACTTCACTTCAAAACACATCAAGATACATTTTTATTACATTTCTTTCACCTGTGTCAATAAAATAGTGGCCAAATTGCCTCCAGAAAATTCAAGTTGCTGAGGTTTCCGGGGAAAGCCTTCGAGTTAATGCGGTTTTTCATGCGGTTTATGATTCAGACACGGACTTGAAAAAAAATGTTGACATGTGGTTATTCGACTAAGGGAGGTTCGAGTACTATGGTGTTCAACTGTATCAATTTTCGTATTGGGACAATGTTCATGGTTTTCTTCTTCTACATTGTGTAGATCACATCATTGAAAACCCCAGTCAAAATTTGTTATTAACCAATACGACCCCCTCCCATTAACAATGAAGAAGAGGTCTGGGCGTGAGTAAATACGGAAAGTGCAGGGTTTCCCCTTGATACTGTACAGACAGTACTCATCTTCGGAACATACGTTAAAAATTGAAAACGAAATTGACAATAGAAGTATCGTAAGCACGATTCGAGTAAATATTTTTCCAACTCACCATCGTCCAAGTGTGCAACTTCGGGTGGCCGGAATCTGACACGGTCACGTTCAAACTGTAGCCGGTTTCCCGCTCAAAATCCAACTGCTTCCCCAGGGTCAGAACCCCGGTGTCAGCGTCCAACAGAAACATGCCCATCGCGTTCCCGTCGCTGATGTGAAACTTGACGACCCGATTCATGCCCAGGTCGTCATCCACAGCCTCAAACTTGGTCAGCACTCTGCCAACTTCCGCTCGCTCAGACACGTTGATGGTCTCCAAGCCGGCCACGAACCTCGGCGCATTGTCGTTCACGTCCAGCACGTTCACGCGCACCAACGCCGACGACGACAGACGCGGGTTCCCGTCGTCACGGGCTTCAACGGTGAGTTCGTACACATTCCGGGTTTCACGGTCGACGCGAGAGCGCAGTGACAGAGAGCCAGAGTCACTGTCGAGTTGGAAAGCATTGTCTTCATTGCCGGCGACGAGGCTGTAGGAGACGCGTCCGTTGCGACCTTCGTCATCGTCGTCAGCGGACACTTCCAGCAGCTTAGTGCCCGCTTCTGCGTTTTCGTGTACATTGGCTTTGTAGCGGAGTCGGGGGAACTGAGGTGCGTTGTCGTTGACGTCGACGATGTGGACGAGGACTTGAGCGACGTCTTGGAGGCGGATGACGCCGTTATCAGCCACGGCGGCGTCCAGGGTGAGCCAGGAACGACCCGACAATGCCAGTACCTTTCGACGAACAGGGGGGGGGGGGGGAGTGTCATTCGCTTTGTTTCAATTACCCAGATAATACTGAATATACAAAGCAGTATTTTCAACAACAACAAAAACCAAGGGTACGTCGAGTATGAGCATGACTGATAGTATTTTTAGGGAACAATAATTAAAGTACCGTATAATATAATACTGTATATCTGTTGAAAGCGTCTGATTCTAAATTTAAAATAAGAACTCAGGCTGAAGTAAAATCAACAGAGCCCTTCGTTCAACAAGAAATCGAGCGTGAAAAAGTGGGACTTGCATTTTCAGGTCAAAAGGCGATCATTTTGTGGGGCGTATCAATTTATGCGCCTCTTACATTCTATTAAAAATACAAATACAGTAGATGTTGAATGGCACCACCCTCATTTACTCGAACACAGTAAAAGGAAAACACAACGAACAATAGCTTCCAATGCAGTTAAAAGTACACAACCGCACACTTGAAGGTTTTTCAGTGTTGGTTCTTTTAGAGGCACTAGAAGCTTCAAAAAGAGATGGAACTTTTTCTGAAGTATCAAGATAAATAATATGTCGCCTTCGATAGTTACAATCTCAAAACACTGAATGGATAATTTTCATCATTCTAAACTGCGTTCTGTTGATTTCTAAGCAAGGGTTCATTTGAACGTGCTTGTTTAAAACATGATCAAAATTTCTGGCATTCCGAAAAAAAAAGCGTTTATAGCGCCGTGAGGAGTTATCGAATCATTACTTGTAAATTCAAGGCACAGTTTGACAAGAATATCAGAAGAGAAGGTGGAAATATCTAGTCCATTGGTACATTTTCATAAAAGAATCGGGAAACCATAAAGTTGATGAAAATAATTTGACATCAAGGACACAATCGATTTCAGACAACAATCGAGAACCGATAAAAACTTGCAGATTCTAAAAATCCCGGAAACATATTTGACGCAAAAAAATGATGTGCCGTTTCAAAGACCTTTTCGGCGGCTTCCTTCCAACCGCAAGACCTAAAAAGAGTTCGTGATCCAAGGCAATGTACCCGGAGTCGCCTTTAACAGCACGATAAATTTGCGATCAAGATACGATTCCCCATCATTGTAGCCAACTTCGTATCGAAAAGGTAACAATGTAACCACAACACGAGCGTTTTTATGTGGTGCCCTCAAAAGGAATGAGGATTAGGCAGCGCCGAGATGCTGATGATATCACTCATGTCTCGGAGGAATAAAGTGAGATACGGTATGCAGAATACTTTTTTTTTTTCCTTCAAAAAGTAGGAACAAAAAATTATTGATTTTTTTTAGATGGGGGGGGGGGGAAGGTGAAGAAGAATATAAAAGGCCTCACCTGCTCGCGATCAAAGGACTTGAGAGTCTTGATCACCCCGGATTTGGAGTCGATCGTGAAGTCCAAGCCCATGGACGACGTGATGGAGAAGAAAAGCTCCGAGTTGCGGCCGATGTCGGCGTCGGTCGCTGTCAGCCGGCCGACGAACGTGTCGATGGATTCGTTCTCCCTGCAAGATGCCAACCGATTACGGACGAACCAGAGACCAACGAACAAAAAACCCTCATCCCCCCAATCTCTCCCCCTCCCCCTTTTCAACATTAATAACCGGTTTTCTTTTAAAACGATCCCGCCGTCATTACAAGCCCCGCAATTAGTGCCGGACGCTTCCTTGAAAACAACCCCCTTTCGGGTCCCTGCTCGCATTCCTGCCGGCGCTCAGCCCTGCAGGAACTGACGTCCAACAATCGACAAGGGACACTCGATATGAATGATGAAAAATAAATGTTAAAAAAAATATGAATCAAGAGACCACTTAAAAATTCAGGAATCCGACTAAAATTCAAACACAGACATGATATTACCGACGACTGAGACCCTCGACCATTTTTCTGCTTCGATTCCCAACACATCCTGAAACATTCTCTTACTACGGATCGGGCTTCAGGGAACCGCGCCGTGAAAGACCAACACTCCGACCCAAACTTTTGAAACAAACAGTGAGAATTCCGGAAACTAACTAAATTCGAATGACTACGCGCCAAAAAAGCACGTACAAAAATAGGCGAATGGCAATGCGTTACTGTACAATGCGTCCCCGGATTAAAAAAAAAAAAACTACAGCAATGCGTTACTGCACGCGTTTCGCTACGCTGAATTTTTGCCATATGAAACGGAATTTTCCTTGGGGTTACTTTAATCATCAGCGCTTTAATTCGTTCGAGATACTTATCAAAAGCCCAGAATCTACTTTAAAAGCAGGGTACTTTTCCTAGTTTTCAGCATAAAAACTCGGGAATTATGAAACGAGCATTACATTATTAAGCTTCAGTAATCCTGGCAAACGTGGGCTCTCAACTTTTTGACAAGAAAAAATTTTACAGAATAGAAGAGGCAAACTTACGCTCATCTTCGGTCAATTTTCTGATTTTATTGGGCTTATTTTTATTTCGTTGTACGGGGACTCACTGTAATTTAACTTGTCTAGCTAAACTAAAACAACAGTTCAGTGCACATTGACTATCTCAATAATATAATAGCTCTTCTCGAACTACTTGTGGTATGCTATAAAAAACCGAGCATTTGTTCAGAGGAGAAAATCTCAAAAACCTAACCAGCGTAACCAAAATCCGTAATTCAATACTTGCCGGAATCGGATTTTTAAATTTTTTTTATATAAAAGAGTACTTCCGTTGCACCACAAAAGAGAAAGTCAAAACAGAGCGAGTACTGCGCTGAGAAAAGCAGGCGCGAAAAGACAAAACCTCAAAAACGTAAACTGCCGAACCTGAAATTATACCTGATCTTCCAGTATTTTCTCATCACGAGAATTTTTATACAGGCTTTTTGAGACTCGATTTTTATCATGTGGGCGAGTACTAGCAATTGAACGCCAAAAATTCTTACTACCGCAAACTCAGGGCCATTCGTTTTCTAAATTTTTAACATGGAAAGTTCTTCACAAGCCGAATTTTCCAAAAAGCCCATCACTGAGTACAGTATAGGATATTTCAAGATCTCAAAAACTCAACCCCAGTTTTCAAATGCTCGAATACTGCTTAAATTGACGGCAATGGGAAAACAATCGAATCAAGGAGCGAATAAAGACGGATTTCTGGGAGCTCAAGAGACGAGTAAAGGAAGAGGAAACTAACCTGAGGTAGAAGTTGAAGGTTTCGTTGCTGAAAACGGGCTTGTTGTCGTTTTCGTCGATGACGCGAATGACGACAGACGCTGACGAGCTCCTCGCTGGCACGCCGTTGTCCCTCGCGACGACACTCAAGCCATAATAGTCGGTCGTTTCACGGTCCAGTCCCCGTTTCAAGAAAAGCATTCCATCCGGGAAAATGCCGAACCTTCCATCCTCGTTACCATCGACGATCTGATTTATTTCAAGGGACAGGGGAAGAAAAAATGAGCACAAATTCTGATTCTAAGTACCTTTCGCCAGCATGGAGACGACAAAAAAAAACACGGAATCGAACAAGATGGTAAAATATAGTTGAAACTCGATTACTTGAACTTCCTTAAGTCGAATCCGCACTGTCAACGTTTTTCAAGCCCCTGCTAAAATTCTCTAATATTTAAAGCATTAAAAAGCTCTCTTACTCGAAAGCTTTTCCACGAAACCTCCGCAACTCAAAATTTCTGGAGGCCGTTCGGCTATTATTTTATTGTTACAAAAAAATAAATAAAAACAATAATAATAGAACGATGCGTTTTGAAAGGAAATGAAGGATTAATTGTGCGAATGAAACCTTGCGCCCAACTTCAGCATCCTGTCAACTAATACAAGGAGCAATTCAAGCCCAGAATATCACCATTTAAAATGTCCTGTAATTATTCGTTCTTTTCCCCCAACAAAAATGTTTTATTTCCTAACCTCCATTCTAATGCTGTTTCCAACACGTTCGACTCTAATTACTCGGGATGTACTGTAATCGTCTTGACATTTCCAACCAGTGAAAGAACGAGCAAATTTTGAAGAGTCCACAATTCATTTACATTCATCGCCGAGCTTCTTTGAAACTATTCCCGCAATAACACTCCAACTCAGTCCACTTCTTATTACCTCCTATAGGTCTTATTCAATTTGCCACTGAGGTAATCTAGGAGAAAAATAACCTTGGAAACCCTTACACTGCAAAACTTTATTGAATTCAACTAAAAAGAAAATTCAGTCGCTTGAGCTTAAATGGTATAAGCTTTAGATCGTTTTAGGCATTATAGATGTTATGGTCCATTCGAAATATACGCACCAAAACGTTGCGAAATCGGGGCTTCAATTTTTAAACTTTTTATTTTAAAACAATTGAATCCAAGAAGTGTGTAAATTTTGTTCGAGATTTTCAGTTTTTATCGAAATTGCCTTGATGATGCTTTTCGTGATCAGCAAAATGCCTTGTATACCTCGTACAGATATGCACAAAGACAGAACCATTGCAAGGTACAGGGTTTTCTTTGAGGAAAGGACTCGGTACCGTATTTTTCGAGGGACAGCCATGGCTCACAGCATTCACAAAGGAGAAGGAAGAGACAACAAGAATAAAATAGATTAGACGGAACCCTCACCTTGTACTCCACTGCGCTGTTGACGCCCAGGTCGACGTCGGTGGCAGTCAACGAAAAGAACCTCGTGTTCACCGCCGTTGTCTCCAACAGCAGCGTCTCGAAGGAATTATGCGCAAACGCCGGCGTGTGATCATTCACATCCTGCACAAACACGTTGACAAACTGCCTCGCGTTCAACGCCGGACTCCCGCCATCCGTCGCCGTCACTTCCAAATTGTAGACTCGGTTCAACGTCTGCCCCACTCCGGAATCCGACGCCACGGAACCGTCAAAACTGATGCGCTTCTTCAAATGAATCATTCCCGACGTCGCTGACATGTAGAACATGTCCCCGGGGTTCGTCGACAGTTCGTAAACTAGTTCGGAATTCACGCCTTCGTCCTGGTCTTCGGCGCGGGCCAAGTAAACTTCGTGTCCGATCGGCGCGTCTTCGTCAATGTAGGCCACGGCTCGAGACACGCCGAAAAACGGCGCGTTGTCGTTGACATCGGCCACGACGATCGTCACACGAGTGACAGCATGGGCACCCATGGCCGCCACAAAGGCGACGATGTCCAGGTCAAAGCGTCGTTTGTTCTCCCGGTCGATTTTGCGTCGAGACTCGAGTACGCCAACGTCGCCGGAACCGCGGATCTCGAACACTCGTTCTTCGTCCCCGCCTACAACGTAGAAACTTGCCGACGGTGACGAGACAACTTTCACTCTGCCGATTTCTCGCGGCGTTGACGCGATTTTCGCAGCATCCTCGCTGTCCTCCGTCACTGAAAACACGTACTTGTCCGACTCGAACGCAATCGATTCCGTCGCAGAGGGATTTAATACGTGCACAACGGCGTCTTCCAGGGCTTTCCGATTACCAGCGTCCTTGGCACTCACGATGACTCGTAAACTTTTATTTTTCGCCTTCCCCGAGTCTGTGAGCCGGATTTCCCCGGTTTTGGGCTCAATGAGCAGATCCTCCGTCGGCTGGACGAAAAAGTAGGTGATCTCTGCGTTTTTGCCTTCGTCGCGATCGAATGCGTGCACATGGCCGAGTTCTTCCTTCAAGTCGAAGAAGTAGAAACGAGGGTAGAATTCCGGGCTGTTGTCGTTGACGTCTTCGACAGAGAGATAAATCGTGGCTGTGGATGACAAGGCTGGGACGCCTTGGTCTCTCGCGAGCACCTTGAGTTCGTAGAAAGGCATGGCTTCTCGGTCGAGCTTTGTGCGAGTCGTAACACGGCCGTTGGAAACGCCTACAGCAAACATGCCAGGGTACCTGAACGGGAGGAAATGCAAAAAGAAGAGGCGTTGGTTTCAATCCACCTGGCTGACGAAAATCATGAAAAAGTAACCACGAAACCAGCTTTGAACAAATAAGGAGATAAAGAGTTGTGGTGTTAATGTCCGACCCAGACAAATCAAGTTATAGCACGGAAGAAACGGCACAATCAAATCTTTACTTCGTTCCTGATATGATAAAAAAAATTATAAGACATCGTAATGCTGCATCACGATAAAAAATGTAAGCATAAATTAGCAGTTATTCAATTTTAAACAAAGGGACATGCAGTCAGGGAAATTTCCTTTTTTTTTTAAATCAGTTGGTCGCGCGTAAATTGAACACATAAACCACAATGAGACTACTGTAATAGTAATGCGGTGCGAGGATCATCCCTGAGGATTACACACTACAGTACTGTACTGTACAATTTTTTTTCAAGGCGAGACGGGAAAGTGCTGAATCTACTGTATTTCCATCAGTAGAAGGGATTCTTCAATTCGTCGCAACTGAGGAATAATTCGAGGAAATTTTCAAATTATTTTTGGAAGTTTAAACTCAGCGAAACGCAATGGCAAGAGACCCTAGGCATTTTAATAAAATAAATGACCACCCAAGAGTTCACTTCACCAAGTATGATCCCAGAAAAGCCACAATCAGCCAACCTGGTAAAATCCATGAAAACGGAACAATCGGTACCATAGAAATTAGCAGCAGCATTAAACTTGAAGAAAAATCTGGAGGTCGGGGTTTAATGACGCGGGGATAAAATATAAAAAAGTTTTAGTTGGAACATTAGAAGCAAACTAAATTTTTCCTGGGCTAGGCTTCAAAACTGCGATAGAGATCGTTAAAAGATAATCCTTTGATCACAAAGCGTAACGACGCCGATTTATTATCTGAAAAATAACCATAAAGCCAAGTGGAGGTTCGATGAAACTAACGAAGCCAGTACAATAAAGTGCAACTCTTTTTAGCATTCTAGGTCAATTAATTCCGCGAATAAGCGGTATTTAATAATTAGATAAATTAGTTAATAAAGCGGGTGGCTCTTCTGATCGGTTACGACTCTCAGAAATAGAAAAATGTAGTGTACACTTAATTTCCGCCTTCACCGGGGTTCTTCGCGCGCTACAAAAATCAAGAATAATTGAGTGGTTTGGAGCTCTAGACTTCGGATCGTAAAATTTCGAAGTGTGGCTGTGTGGGTCACACGAATGTGGGAAAAATGAAAGAAGGGGAAATCCTGAAATCGTCACAATTTTCCTTCGTTTTTCCTATACTGTACTGACAAGGCAAGAATCGCCGTCCTGGTGATTGTCTAAAACTTCTGAAAATCCTTCAAGGGAAATGTAGCAGGCAGGATTTTTTCAGTCAATAAAATCTCGTTTGCTGATTTTGATTTGCGTCAAACATTGTCTCCCCATTTCTTGAGTGCACTTGTAGTTTATTTGACAACACACTTATTAAGCGCACGTATTTGAAAATTCCAGCATTTAGTTTTACTTACTGTACTTGATTAATAGAATAGTTCCTGGATAATGGACTTCCCGCTGGAAATAATACAGCCCATCAAATTAAGCACCACCCTGATATTACAATGAGCTGGAAATACTGCACGTTGAACCTCGACCACTCGAACTTCCTCAAGTTGAAGTCGAATTTTTCAAGTCCCTGTCTGAATTCCCCAATAAAATCCTCACCACGAAGACTTCCCCCACAAACCGATATAAATCAAATTTTCTTAAAGCCTTCTGGCCATCATTTTTCCTTGAAAAGTCATAAAAATTTAACTAAGTGCTTTCTGAAAGAAAGAGGAAAAATTGGGGAAATCAAACCTTGCCTCCAAGTTCAGCATCCTGTCAACTTCTTTATAAGGCACTTCTGGGCCAAAAAAATCATTAATTTCAACTACCCTTTCATTCTTTTCCTTTATTTTGCAAGGCAAAAATGACATTTTCCCCAACTCGGAACCCAGATTAGTGGAATTTCTTGCTGGTCCCGTCGAATTCAATTTGCATCAGTTCAACAGTAGAAAAAAATAATAGTAATCCACGAACCTGTGCTCAACCTCGCTGTGCAGACTGTACGTCACTGTCCCATTCGTTCCTTGGTCCTCGTCACGCGCAATGACACTCGCCACGACAGTATTTGACGCCGTCGACTCTGACAACGTCACATTCGTCACCACAAACTCAAAAACCGGCGGCTCGTCATTCTCGTCGAGAATCTGAATCTTCAGACTCGTGTAAGCCCATTTGGGACTCGGTCCTCCATCACGGGCCGATATCTTCAACGTGACCGTGTCTTGCAATTCCCGGTCCAGCTTGGCCCGTGTCGTCACTAACCCGGATACGTTGTCAATGTCGAACCATTGGTGATCATTCCCCGACACTATAGAGTAGTAGATGTTGGAGTTGACGCCGGTGTCTTCGTCCGTGGCCGTGATGCCCGCCACATAAGTGCCCACGGGCGCCAATTCGCTGAACGTGGCCGAGTATTCGCTCTTTTCGAATACGGGTTCGTGGTCGTTGATGTCGTTCACTTGGATGATGAGGAAGGCTGTTGATGTGCGTTTCGGGGTTCCATTGTCTTCGGCCATGATGGTCAAGTTGTAGCGGCTGACCTTTTCGCGGTCGAGGGCGGCGTTGACGCGAACGATGTCGAAAGAAGGCGTCGAATCGAGTTTGAAGTGGTTGCGCTCGTTGCCGGCTTTGATTTCGACGCGAGTGTCGCCGTTGGGGCCTTCGTCCAGGTCGATTACGGACACGGCCGCCACTACGGACCCGTTTTGCGCGTTCTCGTCCACCGTTGCGAATTTCCCGTTCGCGGGAAAATATCTGAAAAGGATTGTTCGAAAATACGATACGAATTGAAAACTTCGTTCCTTTACGAAAGAAACTCAAGTTATTTGCATGCGTTTGTAACTCGTTATCAAAACTCAACATTCGTTCCTTCAAAAAGGGACAAAAAACATCTTATTTGCGAGTGTGAGTCGCACTTCAAGTGGGCTTAAATTCTTCGGATTCTAAAAGCTTGTCGTTTCTTCTCATGCTTCAATGACATCAGCCTAACGCCCCCAAACATTTTAAAACAGAAATCATGATTCGGACTCAGATGACTGCAGACTGATGCAAAATGACGAATTTATTTGAATCATAATTTTTCACGAGCCAACTTTTATACAAAACAGTGCGTGGGTTTCAAGCAATAATGCCCTTCACCAGCAACTTTTACGACGCTATCAAAGGAACTTGCTTTTTTATACATATTTCACAATAATAATAAAAATCGTAACGGTTCAATGCGTCCCAAAAAAAGCTTTATTATCACAATTATTACTTGTGATGATTCGTTTGATACGAAACGAAACCACTTTCCTAATTTTGAGAGAAAAGGGGCTTGCAATACATGGGTAAAAAAGTGCAATCATTGAAAAATTTTGCATAACATGAGAAACGCTCAAAACCACCTGAATTTCTCTTCGGGACATTACATATGAAAACTATATGGAATATTTTTTCTGACCAGTTCGTTGCAAAAAATAAGATGAATAAATGTGGATTATTTGAAGAACAGCAGGACTAGTACAATAACCAATACGAGAAAGGCTCGGAAGCACTTCGGTCCTTCTTTCTCAGACACCTTGAACTTGGGTTTACAAACCACATATTCTTAGAACTATTTTACAGCAACGAAAGGGAATCGTCCGTTCAAGTCTAGAAATGATTGTAGTTCCACGAAGATTACGTTGCTGAGAAAAATCTGGATATATAATTTTGCCTAAGACATCCAATTCGTTGACAGAAAATTAGAGGCTCAATATTTTCCATGTTCAATCAAAGGCGTCGTGCTTCAGAAAATGTTTTCGTTTTTTCTAATTTCTTTCGGTCCACCTCGAGTCAAAGATCTTCGATAACCCCTTCTCAATTCTTGGAATTACCAAGGGACTGAAAAAACTAGACGCTCCATAAAATGTATGACATATTCATATTGTACTATATTTGCGAAAAGGTGTTGGAGAAATAATAATACTTATACGTAAAAGACGCAAAATTGCAATATATCCTCTATTGGGCTATTTTTGAGGGTAATTAAAAAGTAGTGAGTTTCTTTTCTCCACTTGCATTCGGAAGAATTGTCGCCAGGAAATTGGAGAATAATGAATGGAACTCACCGGAAACGAATGATGGGATCGTGATCGTTGGTGTCGAGAAGATTCACTGTCACATAAGTTCTCCCGTCTTGACGCGGTGACCCGTGATCTCGGGCAAATACGGTGAAAACGCAGCTTTTCTCATCGCAATCCAAACTTTTCGACGTCGTGATTTCGCCAGTGTCAGGGTCGACACTAAACTGCGAATTCCCCGGCGACAAGAAATAAGTGATGCGCGAATTATCACCTTCGTCCACGTCCGTAGCCGTCACTTGCAAGACCCTCGTTCCTGGCGCGACACTTTCATTGAGCGACACGACGTAATCACTGTGGTCGAAAATCGGCGGATTGTCGTTCACGTCAAGGATCGTCACGTTGACGAGAAGATACCCAAACTTCGGCACTTCACCGCCGTCGCGAGCAGAGATGTTCAGTTGGTAGAAGGCTTGAGTTTCCCGGTCAAAGTTTCCAGTGGACTCTAAATGCAGATACGGTGTTTCCCCACTCGGATTCGTCGTGACAACAAGTCGGAACTTGTCGGTGGCCCATTTAGGGCCCGTGACAATCTGGTAGTCCGTCGTGACATCGTTCGGGCCGATGTCACCGTCTGTCGCAGTGTCGAGGATCACCCGGGTTCCGGCTGTCGCCGACTCGGAAAACGACACTGCGATGCTGGACTCTGGGAAAGTCGGCGCGTTGTCGTTGACATCCAGCACCGTCACTCGCACCTGAAAAAAAGTAAATGCAAACGTAGTGAACTTCCTTCCGGATTCCTTATTTCATCCATTGAAAGTTTTCATTTGCTAAGAAAAATAGAAATTCTGCTCAATCCTGCTGAATATGCGATTGATTTTTGGAACTGTATTGTATATGCACGGTTGTAGAGCAAGAATGCTGGAGAAAACACAGCAAAGGTTTTTCCTCCTCTCCAAACACCATGAATTCTCCAATTTCAATTTATCCTCCAATTAAGTGTGGGGAATTAAAAATTAACATTTCAAGTTAAAAAAAATAACATTTCTGAAAAAATCGTCAATTCTTATCCCTGTTTATATCACAGGTATACTTTAACGTGTTTGGCTTTGTGCGCAAAAGTCCTTTTTATTCAGTGTGCAGTATTTTCATTCAAGTTTTGTGAATTGTTTCTTCGATGTTGAATCGCATAATAAATTTCTTGGAACATATATTGAAGTTGACCCCTTGTTCTTGACCAACAAACCAGCAGATTTCCCTCGTTTCATTCTGCGCTGTCTCTTTTTCTTCCATTATTTTCTTGGGTTCCACTTCTACATAAAATGCTCAATGATGGTAACAGCAAAAAAAGCAAGACCGAAGCCCTGGTCAGAGATAAATTTTTCCTGGTCAGAAAATGATTTACTGTTAAGTATACTGCTGCACATTGAATTTTAGTTCGTGTCTCATTTGTTGGTTTCAATGAATATTGAGTGCAGTAAAGCCGAACTAAAGAAGTAATCCTCCTCACACAGCACCTTTAATGAGAGGTTCAAAACTTTCGCAAGCCTTGCGAGTCTTACTTGATAAACGCAAATGGTCGAACATTCTGTGCGACAATATCTCATTTCAAAAAATTTTTGGCTGTGCAAAATGGATTGTTTGAGGTTTCCATTTCAACCACTGCAGCCCGTTTTATGCATTCATAAACTGTATCAGTACAGAAAAAAACGGAATAGTTTTGAACCTTTCTCAGTGACGAAAAGTCATATCTGACAAAAATGTTCGAAGTGTTTCAAACCAGCGGAATGCGTTATTTTTTTCCAAATGTCGGAAGCTTTCAAATTTCAATTTGTGATCTATAGAGTTACATGACTGATGAGACTGAAAAAATTATTAAAATTCTATGCGCTGACAATATGAAGGTAGCATATCTCCTGCACATCTTTGGAGTTTGAAAATTTTGCCAGAACGAGGTAGAAAGGCGCAGGAATAACCGGAAACTGTCAAATGATTAGCCTCCCGTTTAATCAACAAGGATTGATTGAATAACATGTCGTATGACTCACCTCAATGGGATAAGTGGGTAAGCTCGACAAGATGACGAAGTCAAACTTGTCATTGGGCAGGGATTCCCGGTCGAGAACCGAGGTGGTCGTGATCACGCCGGTGGTGGCATTCAGCGCAAAATGCAATGGCTGCTCATTGAACCGATACGTGAAATTCGGCTTGATCGGAATAACTCCGACCGTCGACCCGATCGGCTGATTTTCCAGCACTTCGAACTCGATCCGAGTGTCGACACTGCGGCCTTGAAGCGATTTCTCGCCATTCGCAACACTCGACACAACAAAGCACAGTAGAACTACAAACGTGCCACCAAAACGCGGCATTCCAACACTTATTCGCGCGGTGTCACCGCAGAAGGCGTCTCGCAGCTTCATGGCTTTGTGCGCAGACCAGACCTGCGATCATACTGATCGGTCTTCCCGCGGATTCTGAAGCGGAATCATATGGCACTAAAAACATAAAATCAGCAGAGAAAAATTATCAATTTTTTTCATGTATTTTTTCAACGATTTTCTGCTTGGAACACTGACTGTACATGGCTTTCGCCGCATGAGGCATCACCATGTTTGAAGTACAGTAGTATCCTGAAATTTTCAGAACCTTCGCTTACGCGCCAAAAAAGTACAGCTAAGAGGAGATATTTACTCATTTTATGCACACATCACGCAAAATCAATTGATATGGTTTTTCCTCAATTTTCGGAGTACCTAATTAGTCAGAAAAACATGCGGCATTCAGCCAGCAACTGACCGTTTTCACAGTAACTGAGGAAGACCTGTCAACAAAAACCGAAAAAAACTGTCTTTGTGCTTTCAACATAAACATGCAGGTCTATCAAACCACATTCAAATAAATGAGATTCGATTTGTTGTACTTCAGCCATCAGATAAAGTTTGTCAAGTCTTAAATTTGACAGAGGAGTAAAACAACAGCGTTTTCTCAGACTATAAACAGGTGAATGTAGCATTAAAAAAAGTAAATTCTTCGGATAATTCGGTTAATTTAATTATACAGTGAACAAAATATATTTATGCAGCACGAAGACGGCTTTCTCATCCGAATAACGGTCAGTCGCTTAGGATTGGTCTTACTCTCGAGATACCTTACAACGCGCACATTGTAGCAGTCTGAGTCACTCTACGTCCCGATGAAAAAAATAATTCAAGAAACCAACAATTCTCGAACTATGAGGAAATTTTGCTGTCACAGATCCTGCGCACTGCGTTATTCAAAGCGCGCGGTAAGATTCGAGCACTGTCAACTATAAAAAAATTGTGCGTGGGCTCCGCGCCACCTATACACTGGACGGGGGTCCACGAAGCAATGCCAGCTCGATCATGCGCGCAGGTAACAAAAAATGGCTCGGCAACCATGCTGGCCAGCCATCACTGGGCTCCGTGCTGGGAGAAGACAGGCACATGGACAAGTCTCCAAAACGATCGAGGACCTCCGTTCGGGGGGGACTTCTCTACAGTGCCAGTTGTTGACTGCGCTACCGGGAATGCACCTTTTGAATTAAAGTCGATCTACAGTTCCTTCTTTACTTGCTCGAAAATATTTTCCAGAAAAAATTTGCTTGAAGATGTGTGAGTCTTCCTCTACGTGCCGAGACATGCTGTCTTAAACGTCCGTAATGCAATTAAACCGTGCATTCCTAGTTCAAGTACACTTATGAGTTCTTTTCGAAGCTAATCATTGAATAGATAATACAGTATTAGTGTGCGGCCCAACAGCGAATATCCTGAAGATAAGCTGCTCCTCAAACTTTTAGGGTTCTCGTTATTTTCTGTAAGAGAAGTGCAGCTCACTCAGAGATAAATACGAAGTACTGTACAGTACAGTATAGGGTAAGAATTTTCGACGTTTATTTTTTAATATAGCACCTCTTGGAAGAGCTAAATTTTTAATACACGTGCTTTGGACCAAGTAGCACTTACAACTTATATTTGAGATTATCGAGACCTCCCTAAGTGGAAAAACTTCCAGTGTTGAGTTTTTATGCTGTCTTTGTCTGGATTCTTTTAAAATCAATACAAGCTATAGAGTTCCCTAACTGGACGGTTTTCCCCTCAAGCCTGTAAAACTCTAATTACTCGTGACATTTGACGGGCTATTGTTCTGGGGACCAATAAGGGAATAAATGAGCGGAGCAAAAAATTTCAATTAATGCTTTTTAAACAAGAATGGAATTATTAAGTGGGCCAATTTACCCCTGCTTAGAAGACCAGCATCCAGTCAACTCAAGTATACAGCAATTGAATGCCCCCATAATAATATCGCCTATAAACCTTCCTGTAATTTGTTTCTAATGCAGATACAGTATCTTGTTCACACAAAATTCTTAGCTTCCATTACTGAACTCCTTGAGTCGGGTTTTGGAGGATTCGTTTGTGTTTGCCTCGGTCCAAATTGAATCTAAGGGTTCTGCGAGTGGATGGAACTGCTGCTGAGTGGCCCCAATGCATTCTGGGCTGCTCATCGTACCCTGAGCCGAGCAGCGGGCCGAACGGCACACAATATAACCCAGGAATGCGCGTTCGCCTCCCCCCTGTGTTCGGCATACCTCGATCCGGTGGCGTTTCTTGTCGCGGTGTACCTTTCTCCTTCGGGGCAAAGAAGCTTTTTCCTTACACCGTTTTAATGATTGACAAGGCCGACAGTCGCTACGATTTGCCCGATCGATCGTCTTCCCGTGCACGGCCCTTCAAAACCCATTACCCAGAAGGCGGCGTTGAGGGAAAACACCTGATGGGCTCGAGCCGGATTTTTATCGGGCGAACAAGATCAGCTTATGCCGTAGAACGGGGCTCAGAAAAGTTGCTCATCTGAGCGGCAAAGAATAATCGTGGGGTGGAAACGTTGGAAAAGGTCCGATATGAAACATTTGATGGAGAAGGTTTACGAGGGCCGGTAAATCTGTTGATCGGTATAGAACAGGCAACGGGACAAGAACAGATGATTTCGGGTGCTCCAATTCGTGGATTCTTCAATCACCAGCTCAGAATATTTCTTCATTTTATCCAGCGAAAATGATAAATCAGCGTTCTGCTCTCTTCCACAGCATCCCTTGAATAATTATGGAATCTTTCTCCGTGGCAAGAAATTGCCGCTTTTAAATTTCGGCAATGTTTTTTACGAAGCGCTTCTGGAAGCGACAAAAAACCTACCGGTTACATGCGTTTCATTTCGAAAATAAAACATGGAAATCCACCATGAAAATCTTGGTTCAAGTATTAACGTTTTAATCCCTTTAACGATCGTACATTTGGTCATAAAAGCCTTAAGGTCAAGCTGTATATCTTCAGCATTTTGATTCATTTTAAGATTCTACTGTCTTTCCATTGCGAATCGTGATTGCGATTGAAAAGCAGTTCATTCGCAATCACCCCATGATGATGATGATCAGAAAAAATATGCTGAAATATGCAGAAAATTTGCTCCTTATCGTGTAGCATGCAGCCACTGGGAGACGAGTTTAATTCAGCGACTTCGAGCTCAACAATAAAGGAGTAAATTTTGTATATGCTGATAAGTGATGCTGATGAATGAATATAGTCTTCATTTAAAACTCAATGATATAAATTTTACAAAATAATTTTCACTAATTTTACAGAGTAACATTGTCGTAACCACTGAAACAAAACTTCCCCAAAAAATCGTAAATTATCTCTCGTATCGTACAGTACTTTCCTTTTTACTCCGCCATTTAAAATCGTGTTGGAGTGGATTTCAAGTTTCAGTTAAATGGATTGATTTCAATTTTTATTCAGTATTCTTTACAGTGATTTTAATTTACGCATTTTCTCCTAATTTTTTCTAGTACTCCAAACAGTTATAACTGGCATTAAAAATAAAATAGATTAATTAAATCAATATAAAGTAATTGGATCTGACAATGCTTCGGGAAGAACATTTCATTTTTACTTGAGAACTCCGTTACTTCTGTTGGGACAATTTGTTTTTCTGAGGAAAAACTTTTTTCACGTTTTTCTGAATAAAAACACGATTTTGAATGACAGAACTTCAATTTTCTGAAAATTTTCAATATCTGAAGTCAATCTCGGTATAAGAAATGGTGGAAAAGCAAATTTTTGGTACTGAGGAGTTTGTCGCAACTAGGTTTCACCTTCAATCAATATTCATAAATTGACCAACGTAATAAATATAATGAAAATATGACCTTCTCATCAAGCTTTGCGCATTCAACTTACTGTCTCTCTTTACAAAGAAATTCAAGGGACCTTAAAAATTCCTCGTAGACAATTTTGTCGTGCAGAGTTTGCTTGGATGAGTCTAGCCTAGGTGTATGTTTTTGTAAGCTTTTTTCAGACATGACTTATTTCAATCGTATAAATTCAAATATCAGTGCGTCTATTCTGAAAAAAAAAAATGCGGACTCATTTTTAAGAAATGCGCAGAAGAACTACAACTATTCAGATGATTGTCATATATGAGCATTCACAGTTGCATTATTTCACAAGGGGGAAATCGTCTCAAAACTAACCTACCTTTTTCAAAATTACAATACTGTACAATACACAAGGAAGAGTGAGCACATGGAAAGTCGAGGGTGCTTCAGGAATTCCTCAATAAGAGGAAGCACGAAATAAACTACATCTTTTGAAAGAGTTCCTCGATCGAACAACCCAGACTCGTTAAGATAAAGTATTTTAATTGAGCCCCATCAGACAGAATCAGTCTTTGTTCCGGTACTCGATTGATTCTTTTCATCTCTCTCCTCAAGTGGAGTGAAACAAGTGAGAGTTTCCAATTCAAGGTTATTTTCTCTTTGGCATTCCAGTCGTTTGGATCGATGATGCAATGCTATAATCTCCGTCCTATGATGCTGCAACTCAATCGTCAACGGGGTTACGTCTGCACCTTCCAAAGATCCGTGTTGCAATAAGGCCCCCTTGTTACCAAAAAATAAAATGGGGACGATCAACAACGCATCTGATCTTTTCCTGCGGCAAAATTCTGTGCCTCTGCAGTCAGCTTCTTCCACATTTGTAATGTGGTGCATCATTAAATGAACCAGATACCTTAAAAAAAAGAATTCCTTTTGATGCATTACAATAATTGAAAAAATTGAACAGCAAAAAATTTAAATTGACAAGGGAAAGGAATGAATGAATGCACAGAACACTTTATTTGCCACTTTTCAGCGTTCACAAGGTTCAATCAAGATTTCCACAACCAAACCCCCTTTTCCCACCCAGCCCAAATCCACTCAATGACATTTATTCACTTCAGAGCGGGAAACAGAGCACAAATTGATAACAAAAATAAAAGAAATACAAGGGAAAGGAGAGTGAGAAACAACTTGTAATTGGCAGATATTTATTCAAAGGGTGTCAGCTCTGTACAAATTTGT